AACTAGGACCGCTGGTTGGGACCAAAGGTCAAGGGGGACACAACAAGTATTTATTTCAGATATATTCTAGGTCCATATTCCTACATTTCCTCATCTGTTCTACTTTTTCACTCACCCAGCGGAGCTCCAACAAGATATCTGCTGAATGAGACAGCTTCCTTAGGTGACATTTAATGGCCTGCCTGAGGCTTCAAGTAATGAATGGTTTCAGACAACATCTCATCCATATTCAGGGGTTGTCATTGAACCATGGCTTGTTGTTGAGATGTGGGCTATCATGTTGTCTGAACCCACCCAAGATTAAAAAAAACCCTAATAAACACACCATTCACAGCCCAACAACAAACCATGGGCTCTTTTCTTGGCTTTGTGATTAGCAAGCCATAGTTTGCTAAAGTAGCTGGGTTCAGCCAGCACAATAACCCATGGTTCAACAACAATATACATTTCAACACTTTAGTGACTGTTTTGCCTGAAGCCAGTCAATGTTACTTTCCTACATGCATATGTATAGTTACTTTGATTTCTAAAGCAAGTAAGGAAGCAAATAAGTTGGGAAAATAATTTCTGCTCAAATTTATTATAAATTTCAACTGCTCTCCACCTCTCAAAATACAGAAACTACAACTGTTTGAGCAACTCATGGGCATTAGCTTTCTCATTTTCAGATTCTAAAAAATAACTCATTTGTTCCCAAATTAAGAAGTGTGTGTGTTTTATTTCTTTCCTCTTTCAGCTCTTAAGAGGTAGATATAAAGGTCCCTGCATATGGTGCCTGGTAACTGTGGTAAGTGGGAGATACTGTCACATTTTTAAGTGCACTTTTTAAAAAGAGGTGACTACCAAATTATTTCTAGATCATTCTTTAGAGTCCCCACTGGGTATTATATTCAAGGATTTCAATGTTTTAATCACTGAGCAAGTTGGGAATGTTAATGAAGTGAAGTTGATTAGATAAGACTAGCCTTCCCCAATCTGGTGTCCTCCAGATGTTTTGAATGATAACTCCTAGCTTTCTTGATCATTGACCACACTGGCTGAAGCTGTTGTACATGCTGCAGATGTTTGCAATATTAGGAAGGCACCATTGTTGTTGTCGTTATTTCTATTTCTCTTCTGCCCAGAAACCAAAGTTCTCTGGGAGGTTACAACCGCCCTGGCATTGCTTCCTTAAAGTGTTAATAATATCATGGGATTCAGTTTTATTCACTTTATGCAATTCTGTATTTCAGATTTATAAGAGTTGTGATCAGTGGAAAATAAAAGACTGATCGATTGAAAAGTGAGTTGCGAGCCAATCCAATCCATGGAAAATTCTGGAAAATGCAACTGAGTGCAACCTCTGATCTCTCTGAGAAAGGTGATACACAACAAACACTGGATACAGAACTAAATTAAAATATCATATACAATTCATTTTCAGGGTATCTAACAGTAATTTAAGTCACTGGACTACTCAGATATCTACTTTGTGTTTTCCTGAGGATTGTTCAAATATCAAACACAGAAGATGGACCGATTCAACTCCATTATCTCTGTTTTGTTGTGTTATGTTTTTCTTACAGCTCTATTTGTGAGGCTGCTCTCATGTGTCAACAAATAGCTTTGCATCCTATTTGAAGAGCTCCCATCAGAAGCTGAGGATTGTGGCTATGATAGTTACCATGTAAACGAGTTCCTTTTATTAAATAGCAGAAGGTCAGGCCTATGGAGAACAGTGGAACTGACAGCCAAACATGGAAAGGTTTTTTTGTTCCCATTAGAAGGAAATTCACAAAAAAAGAGGAGAGAAAATCTTGTTGTCCAAATCCTGAAAGGGTTCTTGTGTTCTCTTTAGAGTCACTTGGAAGGCAGAATTACCTAAGGTATCCCTTGTTCTAGACAGCAACTAGAAAAAGTGTGCATTATTTTTTCTTTGCTTGTATTCAGATGTTGATTGTTTTAAGAAAGATCCATTGATTTCAGGGTGATTTACTTCCAGGTAAGCGTATGAAGGATGGCGATCTTGAAGACACAGGAAACCTCTTAGGTCTGGATCTGGCAATCTGGTGATGAAATAAGCAAAGTGCATAGAAAATATGAGCCTGTAAAACTAGGGAAGAAGCAGTGCCAACTCTGGGTTTTTCAGGTTACTAGGGCAAGGCACTCTCAATGGGCCACCTTTCTCAGTAAATCCACTATAAGTTGGCAGTAGAATCACCACCAATGATGCTACTGCCATCACCACCAATGTCCGGGTCAGAGCAGAAGGGAGGTGAACAAGCAGATTTCAATGGTGAAGAAAAAGAGGAGCAAATCTGGAGGCTCTTGTCAATGGACCTTTGTTGGGATATGGGGGACACTGGCAGGTGCCCAACCATGCCTACTCTAGACACCTACCCTGACCAAAAGGATACAAGGAGAATGTCACTCTAGAAGCTCACACACAAGCTTTACACTCATTTGTCTTGCTGCCATATTTTGCTAAGATAGAGTATTTCACGAACTAGTACTGTCATGTCGGTTTCCAGGAATCAAAGATGCAAAACATTTGTGTTAATTTTACTGGGACAAAATCTGCTTGGTGGCTTTCGATGCCATCAGCCATAGCATTGTCCCGGGATGCTTGTCGGGACTGCAAGTGAGAGGTAGTGCATGGTAGCGGTTTCACTTCTAAGTGGATAGTTGGCTCTAAAGCTGGTGCTTGGTGAACACCCCTTGACCCTGTGGATTCTCCAGTATGGGGATTCTGCAAGGGCCTGTTTTGTCCTGATTTACCATCTGTGTTAAAGCTTGAGGGCAGTCATGAGGTTTCTGAGTGTGTTGTCATGCATATGCTAATTGCACACAGCTCTATTACTCCATGTTACCTTGATCAAATTAAGCTGAGGAGATGCCTAAATGGTGCCTGACTGCAAGAACGGACTGGATGAGAACCAATACACTGAAACTCAGACCAGAAAAGCCCAGGGTGCAATGAGTGAGGAATGCCTCTTACTGGCTGGAGAGTGTTCCACTTGCTCTGGATGGAGCTCCATGCTCCCTGAAGGGGCAGGTTCATTACTTGGGTTTTCATGGAGCTGTCTCAAGTCACTCCAATCTCAGGAGCCTGCAATGGAATGCAGCCTTTCTATCACCTTTGTTGGTTGCCCAGCTATCAATGCATCTACCTGGACAAGGATAACTTCGCTTCAAAGGAATGTTGATTCTGGCCTGCTTGCATTCTTTCCCTCTGTTTTTCAAGCTCACACACAGTCCTGGTTTTAACCTTTGAGGCCTTGCAGAGATTAGAACTGCAACACTGGCATGAAGCTGTTCATGCAGCACACTCAGAATCTAAGCCCCTCCTCCTGTATGTGAAGAGGGGGCATTTCAATGGTGGTAACCTAATCATGGAATGATCCTCCCCACAAGGTATGCCTAGTGCGGAACAGTGCTAACTTTTCGGAATCAGATTAAAGCCTTCCTGTACTTTCAGGCATCTGGCAGAATATGATGAAAGTTTATAATCATGTCAAAGGAATCCTTACTGTTTCTAATAGTTCTCTGTGTGCCATCAATTTACATTTGTACGTGATTTTTAAAAACTTGTACAATGTACTGTTGTACCCGCGGTGTTACAGACGAGGCCAGAGACCGGATGGTAAAGTAAAGAGGAGATTTATTCCTGCAGCAGGGACCACATTCATAGAGGAATGCGGTGCTTGAACAGAGTCGGAAGGAGATCTTTATACCTTCACAATCCGCTTTCGGCAAATGGGGAACAATACAATTAGTTTTTGACAAGAATGAGAACAATGGTGACAATGGGGAGTTACAGAATCACATAAGCAGTTGAGCAAGCGATATAC